GGCGACGGCCTGAGCGCTGTCAACCAGTTGCCGCTGTGCCAAGATGACGACCACCCAAGATAGAAACAAGGTCACAATCCGTGTCGAGCCGTCAAACAGACAGATGCAGGTACCAGATGCAGGTACAGCTGTCTAGCGCCAGGAGCAGACCAACTCAACCAGTTGGTGATGACTCGATCGAGTTGAGCCAATGGCGTTGCGTAGACGGGACCGCCGGAAGCGCCGTAATTGGGTGACGAGTTGCTATGCGCACGTTGGAGGTAGGGGGCAGCAAGGGCTGTCAGCGCTTATTGCAGAGCATTGGGGTAAAATTCCCGAGTCTTTGCGCTGTCAAATTTTGATGGCTGAAACCCCAAAAAGATATTGTGTCTCGTTGTTCCAAAGTATAGTGATTCGGGGATTGTTTGTTTTTCTACCTGCGGAAAATTTTGCTCATCAGAATGAATCTATTGAACTAGCATTGGAGAATTTACCTAGAGGATCAATCGTCGCAAAGCTAACACCAAGTTGAGCTGTTTGGCTGAAAACGTATTGTTGACCTCAGCTGGCACCGTACTAGTCCGCTAATATTTAGGCTTTTTTTGGCGTCTAACCTTGTAAGGACTAAACCAGGAAGGGCCTTGCTCGGGTTTACAAATATCGGTCTCGGTGTCGTTGGGGACTTGTTTCAGTGATGCCGCTCTGTGATGTTCCCGAATAGTGAGACCATCGGCGTAGCTTTAGAAATTCTGAGACCAATATAGCGTTGTAGTGTTTCTGGGTTAATTGCAACGCAGTTGACCTCGCCGAATATAGCGGTATAAGAGATAACAAAGTAAGGGTTGAGACAAACTCGATTACGACTCAGCATTGGCGGAGCCACAGTGAGAACTAGACTAGAATCGAAGCCCGGATTCGTAGTGTGTTTTAGAAATGATAAAAAATGTGACAAGATGGTCTTGTTGTTTTGGTGATCGCCGGTCGGGTTTTGAGACGACGGCCGCTTCTGGGTGGTTCTCGTCATCGTTACGGGCGTCTGCACGACTTCGCGAATGGCGTCCACCAGATGATGGTACGAATGCAATGCTACGCAACAAGCAAGTCATCTGAAGCAATCATTCGACGACATGATGCATGATGCTGTGCTGCGGGTTTGACATTATCGTTCGGGTCAGCCGTTCTGGCCATCTCCCAGCTCCATGGAGCAAGTGCATACAAAGTGCATAAGCGGTAAGCACATTTTGAGCTCTAGCCAATGAAAAATCTCGCTGACTAGCTGGCGTCCCTAATCCGGACATCAATATTTATGCAGGTCCCAATCAGGTATCACTAGCACAAATGATTGGAGAATTCCATTTTTAAGGGTCAACTCGCATTAGCGCGTTTGGAGCTGCTCGATATCGAGGAACTTTTATACTAGGGTCCTATTATTTTCGTTGCGTTTTCATGCGATTCATGATCAGGGCTAGAGCGCTCACCCTCTTCATCGAACAACGTCCGTACGGCTATCGGCATCCAGTGGTAGCAACTGTGTGAGTTGGCACATCGCGGATGAATTAATTGCTGAATGCGGAGTAATTTCCAATTCCCTGGTCGGTGGTCGCACCTGGCCAACGCCACTGGCAAGCCACAAACAAGTATAATTCCCGAGCAAAATACAGATTAGGACGGAATCAGTTAACAAACCAGTCTTGTGAGGTCCTGCCCTACCAGTTTAGCAGTGTTCCGGGAATATCCGCCACAATATCAAGACGATTCGGGCTAATATGAGGCACTTTCCAGAGTCTTCAGCGGTTCCTGCCGCTTGAGGCTTGATTAGATTGACACGATATAACACCGTCGCTGGTATAAGAGGTTGCGCATAGGTAGGGGTCCCCTCAGCCAGTAGCAGCGTGAGTAGCTAAGTGTGTAGGCAGGTCTTGTCCGAAGTCAGACTCGCTATTTTGTAGAGCCCTCTCTCTGTTTACCATCAGCACCGATTCTAAGCGAGCCAAGAGATAATGATCATGCGCGACGGGCTTCCAAGCACCTGGGGTGCAGAGGATTTCCCCAGACTCCATGCACAACGTAGATCAGTTCAGGTTCCAGCATTGTTGCAATTATGGCGTACTGTATATCACAAGGTAAGGTAATTTGCAAGGTTGCCTAGTGCTGAAGCTAAAGGCTGAAGAGGCTGAGAATCCATCGCCGATGTGGAAAAGAAAAATAACAAAAGTACATATTGGTAGGGGTGCTATACAGCCTAGTACTAGTGAATCTAGTATATGTCTGCTTATCGCTGACAAAAAGCCACACCCGCTCTAGTGGGCAAATAGTCGATGAAGCCTAACTAAAGAACAAGTCGCCGTTTTAGTCGCGAATGGCCACATGACCTTCGGGAATTTGTTAGGTGGGTCGTCAATGGACCGGGGGTACCAAACCATTGGGACGACAGAATGACGTTTTTTGACTCACACTATCTATCGATACAGAGTACTTGCATCGAGCGATGCCAGATACGCCGCTATGCCACACTATTCATTGCTTTAGCTTAGTTCCTTCAACTTGCCGCTATTATACGGGCAGCTCCTATAGGTGAGTTTTTCGGACAGACGTGGGGCCTACGATAATCCATCAACTTTTCGACCCGATGGAGGGATTCACAACAGCACCATTCTTTCCGATACGAATCTTGATCGCATTCGCTGGTGTCAACTTTTCGATAGTCGGGACCGAGTCTCCCGAGGGATCAAGCGGCGACTAACCATCATAGTGATAAATGCCACACTAATGACGAGCTACCGGAATCTGTGTTGAATAGGCACAGAGGAAACATGCTCTAATTTTGACAGTTGGCTTTTTAAATCCGACGTTGCTAACGGGGCTGCATTGATTCACAGATGACTACCGTTGCACAGCGGCAGCTTCGGGTCGGGCGTTGATACTAACTAGTATCGAAGCGCAGGGGGGTCCCGAACAAACCGATAGGATTACGAAACCCGTTCAGGATATTCCTCTAAACACACAAGTCGCAGAAGCCAAGCGACACCCCAGAAGACCTCCGCATAAAGACACGTCAGGCAACGCTTGCATCAACCCACACATGGTCGACCCATCGACAACTCGACAAAGCATTCGAGTTTGGCACCGAACGGAGATGTCAACAAGGCCTTTGTGCCGAATCATGCAGAAACGAAACATCTCCACGTGCCACAACCACGTGTTGACACGCCAACAAGCTGAGGCAGCTGAGAAGCTGAAACAAGTCAGCTTACCTCGTCCCAAAAAGATGTCATCATCGGAGATCAGCCAAGTGTATGGCCAATAGTGTAAGCCGACCCGAATACTGGGAACCGCAATCATCCGACTCCACGCGAATCCTATGTACACGTGTAAAGAGCTCTTATCTATGCGCAGCTGCGGCGCAGCGACAATACCAAGGTCGGTAGTAACAACACTAGAAATCCTACTCTTGTGCCAATATCTAACCTCGTACATGAGCAGGCCTGCTGGCAGGTCTTGGTTCTGGGGAAGAGGAGCACCTAGTACAGTCCTGGATTATTGTCACTCAAATGAGTTATGATTAACATGCTTACATGCCAGATAGATAAGGTCACGACCAATTTAGGTGAAGTGTGTTGTTGAAGGATCGGAGCATTCCACACGTCTAACTCGTTTCTTTCGTATCATCTCGTACTAACCCATCCCTACTAGTTAACAAAAGTAGGGTAAATTCTCTGACAGCACTCACCAGGATTCTCACTAGTGCTGGACAATACTGTAAGTAAGCAAATGATACAGCCAAGTTCGCTTTGACCTTGATCGGGACGTACCGTCCCATGCCAATCAACACTATAGTGACGCACGTCATTCACGCTCAGATAAGGCGCATACATCTTTCGATGTCAAGTTTCATCTTATCGTCTGTCGATTCGGAAGTTTACGGGTCAGCAACAATTCTAGACGCAGTTAAGGGTTATATTACGGAAGTATGGCCCAAGATATAGTGACAATGGCACGATCGTCGTCTTTCCAGCTGTTGAGCGTGTTCAAAAGACAAATTAGTCCACCAAAGGAGCGTCTCAACAAAAAGATGGATCCTGATCATTTCAACACGTCTTTCCTACTCCACTAAGCGAGATGGGCAATAATATGTCCTACAATATTTCGTAATAATTAAGTGTAGACAAGGCTGCCTGGACCACAAGGAGATTTGCCCAGGGCAGGCTCAGCAGGTGTGGGGATGTAGATGGCCCCCAACAAGGAAAATTCCAAGGCGAAGAGCCACGCTGCCTGGAAATTTGGTGCAACGGTTTTACGCTAGCCAGGAAGACAAGGACAAAAGTTCCTCGGCAGTCGCCGGCGCAAAACAGGTGCCTGGGTTCCCCCAGCATCACATGACCCACGTTCAGGTAATGATTAAACCACTCGGTGATTTTAGCGTTGCTGCACCTCACGTTTGGCGCGGTAGTGAGTCAATCCACAAGGCGAGGCCTGGTCTAGAAGGCTCTGTCAGTTAGTTAAATGAGAGGTCAAAATTTTACGATTGGTCACTGAAACATTTTTGCCAGATACTAATTATTAACTAAGGTAATAAGACAATGACGTCTATGTCTCAATATCCAACAGCTGGGTTAGGTAGAGGGCTTGTCTCGTCGGCGACAGGCTATTGCTTTTCTTTGATTGCCACAAAACGAGCAGAGTAGATGATCGTCCGTCGGGAATTATAGCGAATCCAAAAGCTTGGCCTTGAAAAAGCAAGTCGTGCCATTCCGCCGGGTGCAACAATGTCGCAAACTTACAGCTCTCACAAGCCTGTTTGCGGCTAAGAGGTTAATCCTACGGCTCGCTGCACATTACTCCCCGTGAATGATACATTACCTTGACAATAGATATTTCTACAGTAGTAACTGTCAAACCAGAACCCACAGCTTCGCCTCGTCTAACTAGTGTTTGATTGTCATTGAGGAATGCGGTATTCCTACTATTCCGCACTGCTAATTTTCCCTCTTGGGGCAAATTATGTCCACTGTTAACCAATCGGTCCCATAGCTCAGTTGGTCAGAGCGTCGTACTAATATTATGATAACCTCATAACATTAAGTAATGCGAAGGCCGTGAGTTCAAGCCTCACTGGGACCATTGAATTTACTTTTGCAATATCTTGGTTCCGTCGGGGAATATTATTATTTTTATTTACTTCGATTGAGCGAAGATGTATGTGGCTTTGAAACAAGAGCCCGAACGCGTGGAGTTCATCCCCGATGATTCCCTTCGGTGTAGACTGAAACATAAATCTCAATCAGTCGGGCCGCTCTTAATCAATATGGTTTCAGACATGTAAACAAATCGCGTCTAGTTGAGTTAGAAACCCGCGACTTTTTATTCTATTGTAAACAACCCGATTCGGCTATCGAGTAAGGAGGCCGTTCCAACTTCGTTTAAATAGACCTTGATTGACGCTGCAGACAGTAGTACAGATCTCCAGAGGAAACGCCCACCCTGAAATTCAACGTGCCCACATATGAACCATTTACCCAATGTTGTGACTATATATAGTTTGACATCGCGGATATCTGTATGTATAGAGTACAACAAGGGCTAGAGAACTAGGGCTTGGAATAGATCGATATTGCAATAATCTACTTCATCAAAGAGGCCATAATACAGTCTAGCCCTCACTTATGGTTCAGGCGGCGATCTGGGTTTAATTATACGAATGACTTCGCTCTTGCTTGCCTGACCCGGCTTATTGAAGTCCGTATCGCTATTATCGTATTTTTCCGTAGGATCAAAGGATCGAGCAAACGCGATAATAGCAAAGACGACAAGAAGAAACAATACGGGAAGTTGAGTATGCGAATCACCACCTCGTAAGTTATTTGATGTCGCCGAACCTACCCCTGATGTACGGACAGTTGCAATACCAATATCTAGGGGCAATTCCGTGTGACATAGAGGAATTCGATTTTCACATTTACCCGATCCAGCACTATCCATCATAATGTCATTAACACTGCTATTTTTCCTAGCCGTGCCATCCAATTTATGAATTCCACAAAAAACAGTACCCCTAGTAGGAACAGAGATGCAGCAGCCCAATATCCAAATGTAGCACCAATCTCAGCAATGTCGTCAGACAATAGAGAATAAAATACCGACCAAACTGAGCGGCACGAACAGAGTCACTGGAGGCGTCAGATGCTCAGTGCGCTGTGAGTCCAAGATGCTGATCGAGGACATGACTACAGCGGTGAGCCTGTCGATTCGTTCTTCGTATTCCTCTATTTGCGCCAACACAAAGCCGAACTCGCTATTGTAAGCATCTGACTGCCTCGAGGTCATGAAACCTGCGGAATCAATGTGGGACATTCTCAACTTCGTCTCGGTGAGCATTTCCCGATATAAGGAACCAAGCGGCGCCAGGTGTGTAGTTTTCTCAGTATAGTATTGATTTCGTTCTACGTCAAAAACTCTTTCGGATGTGTGATTTCCCAGTCTACCTGTGACAGACGCGTCTTAATGCACTCGTCAAGGTACCTAGGCACGCGAGAGTTTGCCTCAACCGCTACCAATCTTGCTGATGACATTTGGGATACCCTCGCCACAATGGGAACTCGTCTTTAATAGTTAGACCAAGAAGGAGAGCGCCTAGGACTGAAGACTTATTAGAACGCCTTCAAACAAGTGGTTTTGTAGGGATGCTTACCAATCTCCCATTCGCCCTCTTCGCATTTCTTCCTCCAAAGCGTTGTTCTTGTTCTCATTAACCCGATCTTACCATTGATTCTCTCTTCATCATGGTTCTTTATGTTTGTATCCGCGCTGTCGTTGTTTTCGGGACCTAGCTTCCAAGATGCTCCCGGTAGCGCTTCCGTACCAAACGGCTTATTCTTTCCGATGAACTTGTCATGAAGTATGAACTGATCATTTACGCACTCTGTTAGCCCTGAGATCGGGAGCTGCCAGACCCTACCAAGCTTCCGTGGAATGTCTGTATCTCAGCAGGTCTTGTTCTTCATTCTATGGGTTTCCCCCGATGTTCAACTTGTTTACCGCATCCTAGCCCCAGTTATAAAGAACATGGGAGGCAAAGTATCTCGCCTTGCAGAACCTGATCTGGCATCACTCCTTGCGAATGGCGTTCGTATGTAGGTCTGGCAGATCCCAGTAAGGGTCGTGGATGTCATGCCACGCAAAATCCAGAAGAAGTTGAGTCAAAGCGGTGACCAAGTTTCATAACTTCACGGGAGAGGTCCTCGACAACATACAATTTGGGCTTAAGTTGTGTTCCATCTGGTTCCTTTCCTTTTTTCGTTTTGCTTAACTCCTCGAGGGTATCCCCAAGCTATTCCGGAGTCGTATAGTTGTCAAGAAGATTAACCCTTCCGTCGCTGAAATATTCTGGTTGGTTCACGTGCGCCCTCCCACTCGATCTGGCCGTCGTTTGGCATTCTTGTTAACCCTTGGAGGCCATTAGCAGCGAGGACGGCTCACATCCACCCACTCTTATCATTAGGATCATCCGGGTACGTGTTCTTGTCGTCACCATAAAAATTCCGCCATCAACTTATGAAGTCGACAAGGAGCCTCAATTGTGGTCGTTCTAGTGAGATATTCTTAAGGCATTGGAGATAAGGGCCAGCATCCTCTCCAGGTGTCAGTATGGCAATAATAGCTCGCAATTTTCAAATGTCAATTTTGTATAGCGCACATCTGATACACTCCATATTAAACCAGCCTAGCTCACAGAGAAGTTTTGAAATCTTGTGTACAACGACGGATCTTCCAGCTCAGCTTGGAAATCAATCTCGAGATTGAACACATCATATCCATCCAATCCCCCTTGTTTAATGGCTATGTCGAGTACTGTATTCGCCGGAAACCCCATCCTGAACTCGCTATCACACTCTTCCATTGGCCAAGGCAAAAGGGGCTGAGGCGCGCCTGAAGGTATCATTTCCGGAACCGTGGGTGGTAGTTGTCCGTACTGCATGGCCATTGACGACGGCGAACCCATGGCCACCGGTGATGGACCCATGCCTGGCGGTGGACCCATGGATGGCGGCTGAGGAGGGGGCCAGCTGCTCTGCTCTGGTATTATAGGTTCACCTCTACACCAAGGCAGAATTTCACGGTCCTTTCCTTGCTTCAGCTTAGTTCCAAACCAAATTCTCACTAGACCACCATCCGGGTGCGATACTAGTAAATAGTTATAGTAGGGAACTCTGCTCAGCGTTGGGAAAAACGTTTTTTGTTCACGGGTGGCCAGCCCCGATGGCATCTGTAGGATATTAAATGGTCCAGAAACCCGGTTCAAGATTATCGAGTTCTCCAAAGAATTCCCTGCAGCAGACCGGAAGGTAGAAAGAGTTTTCAGCACGTACATTTCATGACGGTCCAAAGAGGAGCAGTGAGTTGTACGATGAGGCCATGCTCGAGTATATTGGTCGCCAGCTTCATGATGCAGATAGATCGCAATAGGGTAAGTGCCATGATCTAAACAATTGAGAACAAGTACGGGAATTTCCTTCCCAGATTCCGAAACAGAAGAACGCATAGAGGGCATGTATATTCCCCTATTCGTAATCGTGATGTGACCCTTTTTGGCTTTGGCCTGTGGGAAGGACGTAATATTGCCGGAGTCAGCAAAGTCATCGGGCGAAGTAGCAAAAACACCTCGAATCTGTCTACCAGCGAGATTTAAGACGTGCCAGTCCGACATGGTACACGTTTCGTTCTGACATCGTGGGTTGAAACACACTGAAACGTCCCACTCTGAGCTTCCGCAGTCTGCCTCTTTCCATGCGACCTCTTTCCATGCAAATATTGAGTGATCGTCAATTTCTTTTAGAATCTCCTCCTGGAGCCGAATAAATGACTTTGATCGTTCCCCATAAAGAAGCGGCATATTAACATTGAAAATTCCCAGGAGGCTGTATGCCTTGTCCTCTTCACGCGTTGATTGACGACCTGCAGCCCAGCTCATACGTTTTGCAACGCTCGCGGTTTGTATAGGAACTCTTTTCTCTAGGAAATCAGTCTCGATACGAGTAATATATGATAGCAAGGCCCCTAAGTGGAATTTATCTCCAAGATAAACCCAATGCTTGTCATAGAAGTAGACGGTTTGCGGTGCAAGAAGTTCTTGCAATGTCCATACTCGTTTGAACCACCGACAGTGGCGAAAGGCGTCGACGTCAATAAACTTCTTGTCGCCAGACACGTAATCATCCAGATACACGATGCAAATCCTCGCGGACTCGTACCATGAAAACATAGAATTAATAGCTTCACTCAGCTCGGCGCTTTTGGTCTTATCGATGCAACATGTGTCGACCCATAAATACTCCAACTGGAGTGTCAAGGCAACCTGGCAGGCTCCCAGGAGCTTGTCAGAATATGGATCTTTGTACCTATGAGTGTTGAAGAAGGACCAGATATCGATACGTGCTTCTATCAGCTCCGCAGCAACCTTCTGAAAGCCGGCGAATGTAACTTCACGGTCCCCGTTATTTCCCCTCCACGTATGGGACAGGATCGCATATGAAGGTATTCCGCAGTCGAACTCCATTAGCGTGAGGCTCGGGATATGGATGAGACGCATGATGAGTGGAAAGTTGTGCTTAAATTTCAATTTTAGTACGTGAGAGTTTGGTCCATGTGAAGAGTATGCGTGCCTCGGAAAATAAGGCCGGTGAGGAGAGGATAGTCGTCATATGACTCAATGTCGTATATTGGCTTCTTGCACAGGTGTTGAGGAATCACGAGGAGACTGTTACTTTGGTGTATTAATATAGATTCTCGGCGAGCCAGATATATCTTAGATAAGCGTTGAGAGCCCACCCTTGGAGTAAAGTAAAGCCTTGCTCTCTAACTCCTCTCACATCCGAGAAAACAGATCCTCTACAATAATAGTCGAATAACTATACCGACGCTGATATTTCGGGGCTTAAAAGATCGGGTTTAAACAAACTCCATCGTTGTCCAATTGCTAGGCTCTGTGCATCGTTTATGGAAATTGGGCATCTCGAAATCATCCTTGGACAAGGTCTAAGTCTATGCAGTAAACCCCAGCCTGAATATGAGCCACTTTCTCAGGTCCCCTGTACATCGTCATGTTGCGATTCTACCCTATGTGT